AATTATTAATTATTAATTTGTTATTTATTTATATTAATTATTAAATTATTCACCACAATCAAGTGGAATTTATTCCTGGGCTGCAGGGTGGTTCAATATTTGCAAATCAATCAATGTGATATACCATATTAATAAAAGAAAGGATAAGAACCATACAAGCCTGTCAATAGATGCAGAAAAAGCATTTGACAAAATATGGCATCCTTTCATGATAAAATCCCTCAACAGAGAAGGGATAGATGGAACATCCCTCAACATCATAAAGGTCATATATGAAAGATCCACAGCTAATATCCTCAATGGGGGAGAAACAGAGTCTTTCCCCTATGGTCGGGAACAAGACAATGATGTCCTCTCTCACCATTACTATTTAACATAGGAAGTCTTAGCTTCAGCAATTACACAACAAAATGAAATAAAAGGCATCCTAATTGACAAGGAAGAAGTCAAACTTTCACTACTTGCAGATGACATGATCCTCTGTAGAAAACCCAAAAGACTCCACCAAAAAATTGCTAGAACTCGGGCGCCTGGGTGGCTCAGTTGGTTAAGCGACTGCCTTCGGCTCAGGTCATGATCCTGGAGTCCCTGGATCGAGTCCCACATCGGGCTCCCTGCTCGGCAGGGAGTCTGCTTCTCCCTCTGACCCTCCTCCCTCTCATGCTCTCTGTCTCTCATTCTCTGTCTCGCAAATAAATAAAATCTAAAAAAAAAAAAATTGCTAGAACTCATACATGAATTCAGCAAAGTCACAGGATATAAAATCAATGTGCAGAAATCTATTGCATTTCTATACACCAATAATGAAACAGCAGAAAAGAAATCAAGGAATTGATCCCATTTGTAATTGCACCAAAAAGAGTCAGATACATGGCAATAAATCCAACTAAAGAAGTAAAAGATTGGAAAACTACAGAACACTTATGAAAGAAATTGAAGAGGACACAAAGAAATGGAAAAGCATTCCATACTCACGAATTGGAAGAACAAACATTGTTAAAATGTCTACACTACCCAAAACAATCTATACATTTAATGCAATTCCTATCAAAATACCACCAGCATTTTTCACAAAGCTAGAACTAACAATTCTAAAATTTGTATGGAACCACAAGAGACTTGAATAGTCAAAGCAATCCCGATAAAGAAAAACAAAATTGGAGGCATCATGATTCCAGATTTCAAGCTATATTACAAAGCTATATTCATCAAGACAGTATGGTACTAGCACAAAAACAGATACACAGATCAATGGAACAGAACAGAAAGCCCAGAAATGGACCCACAACTCTATGGTCAACTAATTTTCAACAAAGCAGGAAAGAATATCCAATGGAAAAAAGACAGTCTCTTCAACAAATGGTGTTGGGAAAACTGGACTGCAAAATGCACAAGAATTAAACTGGACCACTTTCTTACACGATACATGAAAATAAATTAAAATCAGATGAAAGACCTAAATGTGAGAAAGGAAACCACAAAAATCTTAGAGAACACAGGCAGAAATCTCTTTGACCTTGGCCGTAGCAACTTCTTACTAGATGTGTCACCAGAGGCAAGGGAAACAAAGCAAAAATGAACTATTGGGACTTCATCAAGATAAAAAGCTTCTGCACAGTGAAGTAAATAATCAACAAAACTAAAAGGCAGCCTATGGAATGGGAGAAGATATTTGCAAATGACTTATCTGATAAATGGTTAGTATCCAAAATCTACAAAGAACTTATCAAACTCCACACCCCCAAAAAAACAAACAATCCAGTTAAGAAATGGGCAAAAGATGTGAATAGACTTGTTTTCCAAAGATGACATCCAGATAGCTAAAAGACACATGAAAAGATACACAACATCACTCATCAACAGGCAAATGCAAATCAAAACCACGATGAGATACCACCTCACACCTGTCAGAATGACTAGAATTAACAACACAAGAAACAAGGGGCGTTGGCAAGGTTGTAGAGAAAGAGGCACCCTCTAACACTGTTGGTGGGAAAGCACACTGGTGCAGCCACTCTGGACAACCATATGGAGGTTTCTCAAAAAGTTAAAAATAGAACAATTGCATTAGCAGGTATTTATCTAAAGGATACAAAAATACAGATTCGAAGGGGTACATGCATCCCAATGTTTACAGCAGCATTGTCGGCAATAGCCAAACTATGGAGAGAGCCAAAATATCCATTGAGTGATGAATGGATAAAGAAGATGCAATATATATACAATGGAATATTACTCAACCATCAGAAGATGAAATTTTGCCATTTGCAATGACATGGATGGAGCTAGAGTGTATTATGCTAAGTGAAATAAGTCAGTCAGAGAAAGATAAATACCATATGATCTCACTCATATGTAGAATTTAAGAAAGAAAACAGATGAACATATGGGAAGGGGGAAAAGAAAAAAAGGAGAGGGAACAAACCATAAGAGGCTCTTAAAGATAGAGAACAAAATGAGGGTTGAGGGAGGGAGGTGGATGGGGGATGGACTAAATGGGCGATAGGTATTAAGGAGGGCATTGTTATGATGAGTACCGGGTATTGTATGTATCACTGAATTCTACTCCAGAAACCAAAATTGCACTGTATGTTAAATACATAAAATTTATATTTAAAAATTACTTATTAAACATTACTTGTATAATTTTTCTTTATACAAATACTCTAATACTTGTAATCAAAAGCAGGGGAAAATTCCTTAGCATCTGGGCAGATCAAAATCAAATTGGATAATCGGTTTTGAGCTGACTTTAAGTCATAAAATATTATGGCTATGAAGCCAAAATACCACCAAATAGAGGCAGTGGGTTGGTAAAAAAACAGGAGAACTGGTGCCAAGGGAGTATTTTTAGCTCCAGTTTCTCCAATTACCAGCTGTGTGACCTTGAGTAAGTCACCTAATTTCTGAGGCTCAACTTTCTCATATGTAAAAAGGAATAACACACACCTATCAGACATTGTCATGGGAATTAAAAGAGATCACTTATGTAAATTAAAATACAAATGTTAAAAAAATAGAAAATATGAATGCTAAATTAAGATGAATTTCCTTCATTTTAGGAGACAATAAAAAACAGATACAAATAAATCTAACAAAAATGCCACATGTTCATGCCAAACTTCTCTCCTCTGTAGAGCCTTTCCTGCTTCTACAATTTTGTCTCCCTGAGATCAGTGTTGTTTACTGTTGCCTCTTTGTTATCTTCAGGCATATCCTCCTCATCACTCTCATAATTAATTGTTTATGAGTCTATGGCCTATAGAAATAAAACATGTCTTCCATATACCAAGCACTTAGCACAGAGACAGTGGATGGTGTTCTGCAAATTATCTTTTTAAATAACTGATTGAATACTTAAATGAAAGAATGCACTATCTTGACATTAAAGATAGGATATATCATTCCTTCCAATGTGTGGCCAAGAAAAAATTTCCATGCCCCTATATTTAGCTTACAATGTTCCTTCTATGTATGTATCTCCAGCTGCCTGATTCTTGGTATCATCATAGTTAGAAATGACATGCTAACATTCCAGAGTCAACTAGACATCTCTTTTGTCAGGTGGATAAAGACTCCAGCCTGCTGGTGGGGCTGAAGCTGCACAGCTACATGGAAAAAAAAAACCTTGGAATCCTGTATATAGTAGGGCCAGAAAAGGGGCATGAGCTTCATGAATATGGCCCTCGTACAACTGTGTCAGAACAAAGCTGGCTGCGAATCAAACCCTGTACTTGTCTGCCTGTCTTCCTGGAAGAGTTTATTGTTACATCAGCTATAAAAGGCAAGGTTTTTAAACGAGAAGCAGAGGAGAAGATAGAATGTCATTTAAAACACATTTCCAGACTTCTTCTCAAGTGAAAACCCAGTAACTTCGAGTGGACCCATGCCAACAATGTGTAAGCATTTCTTTACATGTCCAGATCACTCTCATCTCATCTTGGCTTCAGTCATATGTGAACCATAGAAGCCCGTCCTGTCTCGGATACTGTAAGCAGAGAATCAGCTCTTACACTCAAGTGGAACAGATTTGGGTGGAGAGTGCTGGTTAACTCATAAACAATTTATGAACTAAAGCATTTAGCAATTCTTGATTAAAGATTCAAATCCTTATAGCTCTTTGCCAATGAAATGTCGTTTCACTGTTTTCAATAACCATGCTTTGGAAATCATGGAAAATAATCCTACTTCACAGCTAGATAAGATTTTAATATTTAATCAGCTAACCTAAAAAAGTGCTTATGAAGAAAAACCTTAGTATTGATAAGTGCATGAAATATTTTATATAAAGCTCTTCAAAATATCCCTCTGAACTAAGAAGAGACAGGTTTTGTAGTGATAGTGGCTCGGAAATTCCAACCAATTTTGAAAAAAGAAAAAAAAAGCATTAAACCAATCAGATTGAATGTCAGAAAATTAATTATAATTTTTTTCATACATAGTTAATTATGGCCCTCCAAATTTTAAGTCTTCCACATTTGACAATGCTGAATCAGTATAAGCAATCAATTCTTCTTTAAGGTTGCTTTTAGTACCCCTGAAGTATTCGCAATCTATCTGACCCATCTCTTTGCTTCCAATTTAATGTAATCAGTGAAATTCCATTGTGTGGAGTGTCAGAGTCGTAGAGTGATGGCTAAATCAAAGACGTACTAAAAAATTCATAAAAAATCTGGAAATAGGCCAAAAGTAAACAAGCCAATAGACACAAACTGGAAGATTATACTCAACCCAAGGAGTTCTTAAGATCAAGGTCTGGATCTTAATCATCTTTTAATTCCCAGCACCTAGAACAAATAGTAAAATCTCAAAAGATTTTGGTAAAGAGCATGAAGGAACTGATTAAAAATTTCACTAATATAAAAATGTTCTCAGCTCAATATATGCTTATAAAGTCAGAATCAACACTGGAAGAATGTTAAATACATTATACTATTCTTCAAATCTTGACTTTAAATACCCCACCACAAGGTTGAAATGTGTCTTTGCAGTAAGCCTACCTTAAGTGAGCAGAACAGAGATGAAAGGGTAGAAGGAATGAGAACCTCCACTTGGGGTAATGGGTGTGTAGATGAAGTAAAAGTAGACATGAAGAGGGAGTCCCAAGCACTGTAAAGGAGGAAAAAAGTAAGTATCAGAACTTAGTTTTATCACAAAATTAACCTTATTCATTTATGAAGAATTTCCTAAGGGATTTTTTTCAAATAACAATCAATGAAAAGATCTTTAAAGAAGAAAAAAGAAATGAGTCACTTTAATTCAATCCAGTAAAAGCTTTTCTTTATTTTCTGAGTAATAGATTCTCTTTTCAGGCCTCCAAGGCCAAGTCTCTGTAGTCAGCATAAAGTGAAGTTGAGCAATTATTTGTTGAATTTTAATTTAAACAGTTGTAGATCAGAGTAATTTAGGTCAATTATGATCAAGGATTCATGTCAACAGGATAGCCTCCAGTATCTGAGTTTAATGATCCCCTCCCTTAGTACGGTAGTGAAAACAACATTGGATAAGAGGTCAGGAGAATTGGATGCTTTTTTCAAATTCACCACTTAACTATCAACTCTTAGTCTCTCTGGGCAATAGTGTTATCATCTGATCATTGAAATATTTGCACAATCGAATTATTTTGATGAACAATGAAACATTATATGTAAATAACTATGTAAATATAAAGTGCTAAAATGTAAATGTAAATGTAATGAATTCATTGTGAACTCCCTCCCCACATCATCCCATTACACTTTGTATAGGGTTGCATGAACTTTTCTTCAGTAAGACATTGTAAGAGATAATGAGCCCTGGGTATTATATAAGACTAATGAATCACTGACCTCCATCTCTGAAACTCGTAATACATTATATGTTAATTGAATTTAAATTAAATAAATATATAAAAGTTTACAAGAGACCAAAAAAATAAGAGATAAGGCTGAAAAGCAAAGTAGTTTGGTATTAAAATATAAAAGCAAAGGTATTAGAAAAAAAGAAAAAAAGCATGCTCCCATCCACATGCATTAATATAAAACAAAGCACTTTTTGGAAAAATTATTTCCTGGATAGTATTCAGATTCTTTTAGAGCATATAAATACATGTATGATTTAACATTTTATGACAATAGTGCATACTTTTTCATTTATTTATAATAAGTAGCCTTATTTTTTCCAATGGAACAAAAATTAAGTTTATTTCCATTTTACTAATACTAGAATTTTATAAAACCAACATTTTACCTCAGTATGTTCAGGTTCATATACCATAAAGGCAGCTCTTTCAAAAGTTGAAAGTGTCATTACACATTTCGTGGGCAATCAGTACTTGTCTTTTTATAACTGAGGTATAGGAATATTTTAGGACAACAAAAATCATCTCATAATTAAGATGAAAAATTATCTAAGATTAAGATGGAAGTTATGATGGAGATAAAAAATTATTTTCTTCTTTGCTATTTGAATGTTATGTCTTCTGTTTTCTTCTCCTCCTGAACTGGCATAGCCAAGTCAAAACTGATGGCTTCTGTCGATGCATTAAGAACACTTGTAAAATAATAATAGTAATAATAATAATACTTGTCTTCAGAGCTGGGTTTGGTTTAAAAAATACATTCTAATACTAAAGACTGACAGTTTTTTATTAGCAATGCAATATAGACCCTTTGCTTATTAAAAAAACACAAACATATGTTTACAAAACACATATTATTCTATCTCCGTCGACCTGGGATTACAGAATTCTACTTCAAAGAAAAAGAAAGGTCATCCTTTGGACAGAATGGGATTTTCTCTTTTACTATGAAATTGGAGAAAGACTTGGAGATCCTGTAGATCAGAGATTTAATTTCACTCATGAGGAATTTTTCTAGCTGTTAGCCCTGAGAACACATGTCTCTTGGATCACATGTTGAGTGCCCTTTAGATTCTATTACAGGTTTTCTTAAGTGAACAGAAACTTAAACTGAATATAAAGAAAAACTATTCAAAAAATGTCTTAAGTGAATTTAGGAAATGTATTTTAAAATAATTTTCAGTAGTTTTACAAGAAAAAAATGAAAAAAAATTATATTTATATTTTTAAAAGAAAGACATACAACTAGTAAATATTTAATTCTTTCTATTTCCTGAATGGAAAATATATGGTATCTATGAGTATCTCTGGCATACACACACTAGTTTGTATACCTTTTTATAATGTAAAATAATTGGTTAAAAATTATTCTTTTTGATTTAATGTTTTCTGAAAGACTATTCCTGAGTTTCAAAAATAAAATATTGCAAAAAAAGTTTAGAAATGTGGACCTGTCATTCTAAGTGACACCTAGAATCATGGACCACTAACAACCAGGTGGTGGTAAGTAGAGACAAAGAATAGTGGAGGTCAAAGCAGCAGCAAGGAGAAGAAAGGAAGAAATCCTTATCCCCCCCTCCCATCCCCGGTTCTTAACTTCCTGTTCCTTCTTTACCCAAATCACAGCAGCATGCAACTATAGCCATTCGAACAGACAAAAATCTAAGTGACTCAGAGCATTCTCTGCATGGTAGTCTACCCAATGGGTACGTCATAATCCGTTCAAATTATTTTTTATTGTCTGGCATTTATGTTTTACACAGGTCTTTAAGGATATCTCTGAGTATTTCTATAGGATTTAATAATAGAGGTAAACTAAGTTAGCAAGTATATAAAGTTGAAGAATTTTATGCCAAATTGCTTGTCAGGATCATTATACTTCTACTAGTAGCTCATAAGCAACACCTTGTTTTATGCAAGTAACTATTGCCAACACTGACTGTCAAATTAAAACACATGCACATTTTCTAATTTTAGAAAAAAAAGCTTTCATTTTCTAGAAAGAAAATAACCTATTGTTTTCTCTGATTATAAAAATTTATACATGCTTCTTTTAACAAAAATTAAACAATCAAAATACTAAAAAAAAAAAAAAAAAAACCCCAAAGCCCCCAGATCTCTCTACCCAGAGATATTTATGATTAACTTTTTGGAGGATCTCCTTTGAAACTTTATCTACCTATCTATCTACTATGCCAACATGTACACAAAAATTCTGTAAATGTGATCATGCCATCATGCTGTTTCATAACAAAATTTTTCACTCCACAATAGAGTATGTACATTTTTTCATGCCATTAAATATATATATTTGCAAATATATATATAAATATATATATATACACTCACAGAATATTTAATGGGTGTAAAATAATTAATTTTTTTGTAGTCCCATACTTTATTTAACAATTTATCTATTAAGGAAATCTAAATTTGGTTATTTCCAATCTCTATTATAAACAATGTTGTGATGAATACCCTTGTGCTTATACTTTTCCCACTTTTTACATATTTGTGCCATGATCCCTTTGAGAAAATATATTTTAGTGGGCTCCCTGGGTCTAATGGCATGTACATTCTAAAGTTATTCTCCAGTGCTCACTTCGGCAGCACATATACTAAAGTTATTCTCCAAACCACAATTAATGTGTGCTTCCCTTAGACCATCTGACTTGCAAAAATATCTAATGTCATTGGTAGCGAGATGAACGAATTTGATTTTTTTTAATGTTGAGTATCAAATGTGTCAACATTTTAAAAAGCTGCCTATAATAACAAACCAATATTTTCCAAGTGGCCAATGCATGATATATGATCAAACATCAGAAATTTTCCATTTGAAGTGCAAGGTAGGATAATGAACTTAAAAGGACAATTTGAAAAGTTCATTGGTATGGCTTCAGATTCCACATTGCAACTAACTTTTAAGAAGCTACCACTTCTGCCCATTTCTTGATTGGATCACTTGTTCTTTGGGTGTTGAGTTTGGTAAGTTCTTTATAGATTTTGGATACTAGCCCTTTTTCTGATACGTCATTTGCAAATATCTTCTCCCATTCTGTCGGTTGTCTTTTGGTTTTGTTGACTGTTTCTTTTGCTGTGCAAAAGCTTTTTTCTTGATGAGGTCCCAATAGTTCATTTTTGCCCCTGCTTCCCTTGCCTTTGGTGATGATTCTAGGAAGAAGCTGCTGCGGCTGAGGTCGAAGAGGTTGCTGCCTGTGTTCTCCTTTAGGATTTTGATGGACTCCTGTCTCACATTTAGGTCTTTCAACCATTTTGAGGCTATTTTTGTGTGTGGTGTAAGGAAATGGTCCAGTTTCATTCTTCTGCATGTGGCTGTCCAATTTTCCCAACATCATTTGTTGAAAAGACTTTTTTCCATTGGACATTCTTTCCTGCTTTGTCGAAGACTAGTTGATCATAGAGTTGAGGGTCCATTTCTGGGCTCTCTATTCTGTTCCATTGATCTATGTGTCTGTTTTTGTGCCAGTACCATACTGTCTTGATGATGACAGCTTTGTAATAGAGCTTGAACAGACACATGAAAAAGTGCTCAACATCATTCGGCATCAGGGAAATCCAAATCAAAACCTCAATGAGATACCACCTCACACCAGTCAGAATGGCTAAAATTAACAAGTCAGGAAACGACAGATGTTGGCAGGGATGCGGAGAAAGGGGAACCCTCCTACACTGTTGGTGGGAATGCAAGCGGGTGCAGCCACTCTGGAAAACAGTATGGAGGTTCTTCAAAAAGTTGAAAATAGAGCTACCCCACGATCCAGCAATTGTACTACTGGGTATTTACCCCAAAGATACAAATGTAGGGATCCAAAGGGGTATGTGCACCCTGATGTTTACAGCAGCAATGTCCATAATAGCCAAACTGTGGAAAGAGCCAAGATGTCCATCGACAGATGAATGGATAAAGAAGAGGTGGTATATGTATACAATGGAATATTATGCAGCCATCAAAAAGAATGAAATCTTGCCATTTGCAACATCATGGATGGAACTGGAGGGTATTATGCTGAGTGAAATAAGTCAATCAGAGAAAGACATGTATCATATGGCCTCACTGATATGAGGAATTCTTAATCTCAGGAAACAAACTGAGGGTTGTTGGAGTGGTGGGGGGTGGGAGGGATGGGGTGGCTGGGTGATAGACATTGGGGAAGGTATGTGCTATGGTGAGCGCTGTGAATTGTGTAAGACTGTTGAATCACAGACCTGTACCTCTGAAACAAATAATACATTATATGTTTTAAAA